TCTCCACCTTCAGCAAGAGCCATATTATGCAGCTTGTTAAAATAAAACATAGTGGATCCAGCTTCTGTCCTTAAGTGAGCCTCTTTTAAAGCGTCCCAAATTTCTCTGGCTGAGGTCTTATCACGCAATAGACAGAGCTCTTCTGGGGATACTATCAATGTAAGAGTTCCCCTTGCTTTGGAATCCTTAGCTTCCCATGCATCTGTAACTGGAACTGGGGGGGTTCCTGTAATCACCTCAAACAAACCCTCTTTCCGCAGAATTGCCTCTGCATACTGAACCCAGTCGCTATAATTCTTCTTGTTGAGCTTAGGAATCCCACAAGCATCCTGAAGGGCCATCATGACTCTGGCATTAGCCTTCAGCGTCATATGCTGCTTTAAATCTTGCTGCGTCACTGCTGCAGCTGCCTCATTACAAAGGCACACTTAAAAGTGACTTACGATTTCCCAGCATAGTGACTTGTGCCTGGGAGCCTTTTGCCTATTCCCAGCAAAACCGGCTTTAACGCTGATCTGGCCCCCGGGCCTTAGTTTGCCTACCCATGATCTTGAGTGAATACAAAGGCAGTGTTTTCCATGTTACTGCTGAAGGAAAAATAAAGGCCCCTTTCCCACGTACATCCCCTCAAAACAACCCCGCCCCCACAAGGGGTGTTTACACATTACAGTCAATGATAATTACAGTCAGTTTGCCTGCATGTGCAAATAGTTGAGCTGTACTCTTGAATGATAATTTGCATGTGATGTTCAACGAGTGTACTATCAGTTTACTTGTGTACATCATTGCTGAGCTGTGCATATGCTGAAGTGTATAATCTTTCACAGAAACACTTGTTCATGTGTAGAGTCAGTGTAACTGGGTTCCATGTAATGTGTGAATGACCCTCCTTGTACACTTTTAACTTCCAGGGGCATCATCAGCAGTGGGAGTTTCTCTTCAGGTTTCAAAATCCGGTCTTGAATATAATTAAAATTAGGACATTGTTTGTGCTTAGTTTTATAGAAGTATATCCTCCTTCCAATTATCATTTGGGAGAGACCCATACTTGTCTTGTTCAAACCAGGGGAAATGATGATCAACATGTATGCCAGAGTTTGAAATGGGATCACACTAAATATTTGTCAGCTGTGTGTGTGTTGTGGGGAATAGAGCTTGAGGTGGGGAGCAACCTGAATACCACCCATTTTGTGCTGCGTAGGAGATCATTAAGAGGAAATGAAGTCCATTGCGAGTGTAGGCAAGGTTACAATGACCATCTCAGTTCTTTGTGTCATCGATTGCCATCACTCTGCATGGACCAATGCTTTTGAGCAATCCTTGACACTTAGCTCAAAGGTAGAAGAGGTGGGGATGCTTTTGACATTGCCAAATATGTTGGCCACAATCCAACCCCTTTCAGCTCAGTTTGGGCTTGGAGGGATTCAGTGTAGTCTGACTCAGAAGATTTCCCTCCCCCTTTTCCATGGGGGCATCAGGGGAGACCAGTAGGTAGTGATGTAATGGATTAGGGATGGGGAGAGATGAAACACCCTCACTTATTTCTCAGCAGAGAATACGACATCATCTCCTGGAGTCCCCATGGAAACACTCTTCAGGGCTCTCAACAGGGCTATCTCTCCCTCTCCACATCCATCGCTTTTGTCAAGGAGTCCACGGTTTAGGTCAGGGATTGCCTTGGGGCAGCCCTCATAGGTCTTCTTCCAGGAATCTGGTAGGAATCCCACTTCCACACTGATTACCATTCCTCTCAGTAAAGAAAATAAAATAAAATGAACAGAATTTGCAATCTGAATAGTTTATCCAGGCAACAACTGCAGCAATGGCTATAGCAACAGTATATATGCACACACAAATCGCTTCCCTGTGAGCAGCCAAGTTCTGATGAAAATTTCTTCTTTAGCTGAAGCAAGCTCCAGTCTGAAGCGAGGAGGAGGAGGAGGAGGTAGATGGCTATTACAAACTTAGGGGTCCCTCAGACTGGTGGCTTTTTTAGGTGTATTCCGTTGAAATTCTGGAAGCCAAGATCCAAGTTTGGAAACTGCAAGTACTCTTTGGTGACAGAACCCCCCGTAGAGATTTAACATTGCAAAACATGCAGCATTGGAAAGTGTGGGACTATTGACTGTAAACCCTTTAAAATTTGCCCTTCTAGTGAATCCCCAAAATGTCTCCTTTTAAAATCTCTTTCCAAGCTATCCCACTTCGAGATAGACCACAGGTTTGGCAAGTCATAAAATAGTTTACTTACAAACCTCTTCAAAGGTCAGATTAATGTGCTTTTTCACACAGCTGTCAGAAAAAAAATGCACAGACAATCAAAACATTGCATAGTTACAAAAGGCAAAAGTTTCCAAAATATTGGTATAGAAAAATGCTAGTTTCAGACTCTCGTCTGAAACAAAAGAGCTAGTTAAAACCATGTGGCTGGAGTGACGAGCTCAGAGCTCCTTGCATACTGAAGGCGACATGGAGAGAGAGATAACAAAAGCTTGGTGAAACAATTTCATCCCAAGGTGGGAAGTGATGACATAGCCTAAGCCTGGCAGGCCGGCTTACTCAATGGTTGTAACCCCTTCAAACACTACTTAGATTCAAACATGCCAGAGTTATATGAAGGTAGAGCCCTACATATTATGCAACATGTCATTGATGCAATAATAGTGTGTTAGTGCTGGATTTGTGCTGAACTGTCTACACAACTTTCCACATTCATGGCTATTCTGCGATGCTTCCCCGGTGTTACTGCATGATTGCCATCTTGAGGACCAAGGCACAACAGAAGTGAGGTCAAGGGAGGAGGAAAAACTACCAGAATATTTGTGGTTATAAAAAATTAGAGGGTTTCAGTGGGTCATTATGGGACATGCACCCCCCAAGTGATTAAATCCTAACTCCCATCAGCCCCCACCAATGTGTCCAATAGCCAAAGAGGATGGGAGTTGTAGTCCAGTAACATCTAAGAACGTCAGAAGAGCCTGCTGGGTTGGGAAACAGCCCATCTAGTCCAGCATTCTGTCCTCACAGTGGCCAAACAAATGTCTGCAGAAAACCCAAAAGCAGAAAACAGGGAGACTCCCAATAACATTCTTTCAGATGGTAGATGACTTAAACTTAAAGGATGAATGGAGGAAGAAAAATGAGAAGGAAAGACAGTATACATTTTATTTAGATGCAAACAATTCAGCAAGCTGGATGGATAGAATATGGATTTCTAATAATCTTATACTGATAATAAACAAAATAGAGATATTGCCTAAATTGCTGTCAGATGCTGCAGACCCAATGATGCTAGAAATAAGGTATAATAAAAAGAAAAACAAAAGCTGGAGAATGAATGAGAGATTGCTAAACGATGAGAAGATAGTAGAAAAAGCCCAAAAGAATTTTTTGAAATTAATATGGCACAAGACACGGACCTTAGAGTGATATGGGATGCTGGGAAGGCTTATATAAGGGGCTTCTATATAAATCAGAATATAATACGAAGAAGAATCAGAGAAACTAAATTAAATCAAATTCAACAAGAAATAGCACATTATGAAAAACTATTGGCTAAAGCACCTAAAGATGTCTCAATAAATCAACAAATTAAAATATTGCAATCTCCCCTCCTGTGGCTTCCAGTAGCTGGTTTCCAGCAGCATTGCTGTCTATAGTTGTGGAGGCAGAGCATAACCATCATGGCTAGTAGCCATTGATAGCCCTCTCCTCCATTTGGTGGGCCCCAAGTCAGTGGCGTAGCAAGTTTAGGTGGTACCCGGTTAGGATTTTTTTTTGTCACCCCCTCCACATTGCAATCTAGCTGGACTCCCAAGAGACTGTAGTCTACTCACAGTATAAAAAGACTGCCTGTGATCTACACATTGTCATTGCCAGGAGTTTTAAAGCTTTTTTAAGGGAAGGGTTGACCAAAGTTGTTGAGCTTTGTTTGGGATTCCAGGATTCCAGGGTTTGGGTCCAATGTTGACGGAGCTTTTGCTGCTCTCCTTCCCTCGACCCTCCAGTTGTTTGCTTGCCTGACTCCTTCCCATCCTCTCCCTGCATGCATGCCTTCTCCAGCAGCCTGGGATCGTGCAGCTGTCAAAACGAAGGGCGAAGGGGGGGGGGACGCCGCCACAGCTCCCCCCTTCCCCCGAAGGCTCAGGGTAGGCGGGAGTTGCGGGCGGGCAGCGAGCCAAATATCATCCCCTCGGTGATAACACCTGGGGTGGTTTGCCCCCACCGCCCCCACCTTGCTCTGCCCCTGGCCACAGGTGAGCACTCTGCAGCCATATACTCCCACATCCTCAATAATAATAATAAAATTTATTTATACCCTGCCCTCCCCAGCTCAGGGCTGCTAACACCAGTAAAATTACAGTAAAAACATAATAGGGAAAAAACCCACCAATTTAAAATACAGGTTAAAATGCTATTTAAAATGCAGCCTCATTTTAAAAGTAGCCCATAGATCAAAACCATAAGGGGAGGGAAACATAAAGGTCAGACTGAGTCCAAACCAAAGGCCAGGCGGAACAGCTCTGTCTTGCAGGCCCTGCGGAAAGATGTCAAGTCCTGCAGGGCCCTGGTCTCTTGTGACAGAGCGTTCCACCACGTCGGCGCCAGTACTGAAAAGGCCCTGGCCCTAGTTGAGACCAATCTAACCACCTTGCGACTTGGGACCTCCAAAATGTTGTCATTTGTGGACCTTAAGGTTTTCCACAGGGCATACCAGGAGAGGCGGTCCCGTAGGTACGATGGTTCCTTGCTAAGAGAGGCTCAGTTTGAATGCATATCTCACTGTGTCTGACTCCTTATCTCCTGCTTCATGGAGGCTCATCCCACTTCCTATATCATATCGCCTACCAAAGTCCTCAAATATCACTAGAGCAGCCTTCATCATTGTCCTTGTCCATTGCTCAGGCTGGCTGGGGTTGCTGGCAATCATAGAATTGTGGAGTTGGAAGGGAGCTTGAGGATCATCTAGTCCAACCCTTTACAACGCAGGAATATGCAGCTGTCCCATACGGGAATCGAACCTGCAACTTTGGCATTATCAGCACCACTCTCTAACTAACTGAGTTATCATCTTGTAGCCCAAGATAGCTGGAGGCACTGGGCTGGAGGTAGCTGTACTACACAGTGATGCCTTAAATGCAGGATGATGACCAAATCAATAATAATTGCAAACCAATTTTCTGTTCATGGGTTTGGGTTTCAATTCTTAACAAAACACCTCTTTGCAATTAATGCGTGAGTCAAGCAACTTGACTTCATTAGAACTGCAAGTCTGGAAGTTTCCTGCTAAGTGTCTTCTCATCCATGAACTTACCTGGTAGCCTGAGGGAAGATGCTATTTGTAAGCCTCAGCCCCCATTTTGTATTATGCAGATAATTCTGCTGGCCTACTTTACAGAGCTGTTGTAAGGATTGCCAGGGGGGTTTGATCCTGTCAGGAGTTCTGTGAATAGAACTATCAGCGTGGGCTGCCTTGAGGCAAGACCTCTAAGAACCTGACAAAATGCCACTGATATTGTGTAATATTTAGGGGATGCATCTTGGTGAGAGCTAAGGTGGTCTAGGAAGGGAAAGGGGATGGGCAGAGATGGGTAATCACACACACACACACACACACACACACACACACACACACACACAGCATTTCCTATCAGAACAAGGGCAAATGACTGCCAAAACACAGCACACATGGCCTCCACTGCCCTGAGAAAATCCCTCAACCCCATTTTTAATGTATTTTTGTTGGGATTCAAGCCTTTATCAGGAGAAACTGGCCACTCTCCAGGCACCCGGCTTGATCTCCTGTTGACCTCCCTGTCTGCATTCCCCAGCAGGATCCAGGCAGAGGTCGCGATAGGCGATCCTTCTCAGAGTGAGAAGAACACACCCCTCTTTCCTGCCCCCAGGCAAGGGAAAGAGATAGACAGAAACGTATTTACATTCCTTTATTTCTGTCTTTGCAGCGTTACAAAAATCATGACTGCTCTCTTCAAGCTCCAGCAGTCGAGAGACAAACTCCTCCTGTACTTCCTGTACAGCTCATATTACACTCTGAGCTAATTCCGGTGCCCTCTGCACTGTGAATTGACTGTCCCTCTGTTTCCCACGGAACAGTCCCAACATTCCCATTATGTTTTGCTTTCAAGCTACCAGCTCGCGGCCGCATTGCTTCTATATCGTAACAATTTTCTCTCTCTGGTAGGTTTACAAAAAGGAAAACACATGCCAATATATAAATTTTAGAAAGGAGCAAAATAAGATGCGGACACACAAAGTATTTCTTTGTCTAAAAAAATAAAATAAACAAAGAAGAGGAGGAGGAGGAGGAGTTTGGACTTGATATCCCACCTTTCACTCCACTTAAGAAGTCTCAAAGCAGCTAACAATCTCCTTTCCCTTCCTCCCCCACAACAAGCACTCTGTGAGGTGAGTGGGGCTGAGAGACTTCAGAGAAGTGTGACTAGCCCAAGGTCACCCAGCCGCTGCATGCGGAGGAGCGGGGAAGCGAACCTGGTTCACCAGATTACGAGTCCACTGTTCATAACCACTGCACCATGCTGGCTCTCATTGTGCACTGCCACACTCCTCCTTTGGCCCTGCCCTCTGCCTGCCCCTCAGAGCCAGCGGGTCACATGCAGCCTCTCCTCCTCCTTGCACACTCTCCAGCAGCTGGTACAAGCTGCCCAAGGAAGGAGAATGGCAGCAGTGGCCATGGAGAGGCAACGGGGTGCTCCCTCACAGCTGCCACTGCTGCCACTAACATTGCTCGGGACATGCAATGAGCTTCCTTCCTGGGCTTGGTGGCTGTAGCAGTGGTGGGCGAAATAAGGACATTCCAGGATCCAGTTGGAAACCAGGATGGCTTTCATAATTCTGGGACCACCCCAGGGAAAATAGGGACACCTGGAGGTCATGAAATTGCTCAGGGTGGTTAAAACCAAAAGGGATTGCAAAGACTTCCGAAAGGACTTCTCCAAACTGTGTAAATGGGTAGTGAAATGGCAAATGCAATTTGATGTAAACAAGTATAAAGTGATGTGTACTGGGGCAAAGAAATATTGATTTCACATATGAGTTCATGGGGTCAGCGACTGACCAGGAATGAGACCTTGGGATCATTGTGTACTGCTCGATGAATATACTGCATCAACCCAGTGTGTGAAAAAGACAGATTACATTATAGAAATCATTGGGAACCAAACTGAGAATAAAACTGTTGACATCATTCTACCATTATAACAGATCTATGGTGTGACCGTATTTGGAATGTTGTGTACAGTTCAGGTAGCCTCGCCTCAAGCAGGATATTGTAGAGATGGAAAAGTTCAGAATAGGGACACCAAAATGACCAAGGGGTGGAGAAACTCGCCTATGAGGAAAGATTTGGGGCTTTTGGGGCTTTTTAGTCTAGAGAAAAGGGGCGTAAGAGGCAACATGATAGAAGTTAAAAAAATGATGCATGACATGGAGAAACTGGGTGGAGAAAAGTTTTTTTCTTCCTCATAGCACTAGAGCCCAAAGACATCCAAAGGAGCTGAATATTGAAAGATTTAGCACAGACAAGAGAATGTGTTTCTTCTCACGGTGCATAAACTAGGAAATTAGCTTCCACAAGAGTAATGGCCATCAAATTGGATGGCTCTAAAAGAGGATTAAATAGATTGATGGAGAGGGCTATCGTTGGGTAATTATGCTGATGGGACACTGGTGGCATTGTGGTCTAAACCACAGAGCCTCTTGGACTTGACAGTCAGAAGGTTGGTGGTTCAAATCCCCGTGACGAAGTGAGCTCCCATTGCTCTGTGCCAGCTCCTGCCAATCTAGCAGTTCGAAAGCACACCAGTGCAAATAGATAAATAGGTACCACTGTGGCGGGAAGGTAAACAGCATTTCCATGTGCTCTGTTTTCTGTCACGGTGTTCCATTGTGTCAGAAGCGGTTTAGTCCTGCTGGCCACATGACCTGGAAAGCTGTCTGTGGAAAAACGCTGGCTCCATCAGCCTGAAAGCGAGATGAGCACCAAAACCCCATAGTCGCCTTTGGCTGGGCTTAACCATCCAGGGGTCCTTCACCTTTACCTTTTACTTATCCTGATGGATATATTCTACCTTCACAGTTGCAGTATGCTTCTGAATATCAGTTGCTGGAAACTTCAGGTGGGGAGAGCGCTGTTGTGCCATAGAATCGTAGAACTGTAGAGTTGGAAGGGACCCTGGGGGTCATCTGGACCAACCCCTTGCAATGCAGAAATCTTAACTAAGGCATCCATGACAGAGGACCATCCAACCTCTGCTTAAAATCCTCCAAAGAAAGAGAGCCCACAACCATCCTAGGGAGTCCGTTCCACTGTCAAACAGCTCCTACCGTCAGAAAGTTCTTCCTGATGTTTAATTGTGTTCCATCCCTGCTTGTGGACTTCCCATCGGCTTCTGGTTGGCCACTGTGAGACTGGGATGTTTGATTAGATGGGCTACTGCCTTCAGCAGTCTCTTTTTACATTATTTGAGCTGAGTGGCTCCCTATAACAATTAAAAGAAGAGAAGAAGAAGAGTTTAGACTTGATATCCCACCTTTCACTCCGCTTAAGGAGTCTCAAAGCGGCTAACAATCTCCTTTCCCTTCCTCCCCCACAACAAACACTCTGTGAGGTGAGTGAGGCTGAGAGACTTCAGAGAAGTGTGACTGGCCCAAGGTCACCCAGCAGCTGCATGTGGAGGAGCGGGGAAGCGAACCTGGTTCACCAGATTACGAGTCCACTGTTCATAACCACTACACCACGCTGGCTCTCATTGTGCACTGCCACACTCCTCCTTTGGCCCTGCCCTCTGCCTGCCCCTCAGAGCCAGTGGGTCACATGCAGCCAGATTACGAGTCTACCGCTCTTAACCACTATACCACGCTGGCTCTGGTGACCTATCTCCAAAAATCTGGACAGGGAGCAGTATAGTGGTACCTTGGGTTAAGAACTTAATTCGTTCCGAAGGTCTGTTCTTAACCTGAAACTGTTCTTAACCTGAGGTACCACTTTAGCTAATGGGGCCTCCCGCTGCTGCTGCTGCGCCACTGCCCGATTTTTGTTCTCATCCTGAAGCAAAGTTCTTAACCCGAGGTACTATTTCTGGGTTAATGGAGTCTGTAACCTGAAGTGTCTGTAACCCGAGGTACCACTGTATTTGCCAGCGTATTAATGGTGTGAATCTCCACCTATGTGCATCCTGTATGTATGTGCTATCAAACCAGGGGCCACAAAACTCCAGTCATTCTCCACCGACCTCATTCCTGGGAAGCAAAACCTCGAGCAAGCATTGTAAGCCCTGAAACCTGACCACAAAGAGAACCAGGGTAAGTGTAATAGCATGTAGAAGAGAAGAAGAGTTTGGATTTGATATCCCGCCTTTCACTCCCTTTGAGGAGTCTCAAAGCGGCTAACATTCTCCTTTCCCTTCCTCCCCCACAACAAACATTCTGTGAGGTGAGTGGGGCTGAGAGACTTCAAAGAAGTGTGACTGGCCCAAGGTCACCCAGCAGCTGCATGTGGAGGAGCAGGGAAGTGAACCCGGTTCCCCAGATTACGAGACTACCGCTCTTCACCACTACACCACACTGGCTCTCTTTCAAAATTTAAGAGAAGTGCCATGTAACAGACATCTAGTGAGCTGTTGATTTTCCCTCTAGGGCAGGGGTCAGCAAACTTTTTCACCAGGGGGCCGGTCCACTGTTCTTCAGACCTTGTGGGGGGCTGGACTATATTTTTTTGGGGGGGAGTGAACGAATTCCTATGTCCCACAAATAACTCAGAGATGCATTTTAAATAAAAGCACACATTCTACTCATGTAAAAACACGCTGATTCCCGGACCATCTGCGGACCGGATTTAGAAGGCGATTGGGCTGGATCCGGCCCCCCGGGCCTTAGTTTGCCTACCCATGCTCTAGGGCAGCCTTTCTCAACCTGTGGGTCCCCAGATGTTGTTGAACTACAACTCCCATCACCCCTAGCTAGCAAGGCCAGAGCTCAGGGATGATGGGAGTTGTAGTCCAACAACATCTGGGGACCCACAGGTTGAGAA